TGATGCTGTTGGCAAACCAGACGGTTTTCCTGTTTTTTTTTAATAGTGTTTGAAATTTTTATTTTATTTATTTGAAAGGCAGGGGGGGGGGTAGAAAGAGAGAGAGAGATATATCTTTCATCCACAGGTCCACAGGTTCACTTCCCAAGTGGCCACAACGGCCAGGGCTGGGCCAGGCTGAAGCCAGGAGCCAGGGGCCTCCTCCAGGTCTCCCACTTGGGTGCAGGTGCCCAAGCAGTTGGACGATCACTGGCTGCCTCCCAGGCTGCACTGGCAGAAAGCTGGATGCAAAGCAGAGTAGCTGGGTCTCAATCTCACACTCTGGTGGGGACTTCCCCAGTGGCGGCTTAACCCACTGCACCACGACGCCTGCCCAGACTGTTTCCTTTCTACCCTGCTTAGAGCATGGATCTTTGTTTCCTGCATCCCCCTCACAGTTGCCAGGTGGCTGCCACAGCCACCATGTTTGGTGCAAGAAGCTGATGAAAAAGCCCCTTCCAAGACTTCTGCTGGTGTGTATTATCCACCAAAGCCCTGTCACATGGTCGTCTGTAGCCTCAAGAAAGGCTGGGAAGGCGGATCCTTAGCTTTTCAGTGTGTAGAGGGGAGCTAGGCAAAGGAGGAGGCAGTGAGAACGGGTGTTGGGTGAGTTAGCCGTCAGTAGGGGCCATGGCCGGTGGTGAGGTGTAACTCACGCCCGAGCCAGAGGGCAGCACAACCCACAGAGCTCCGGCAGGGAACGGTGGAGCCTGGGAGTAGACTGGGGCCAGAGATGTGAGCGTGGCCGGGAGGTTTCCCCTCTCCCTGACTCTGTTCCGTTCTCGTCAGTGTTCTCTTTTTCTCTGAAGACCAACTCTTCCTCTTTTCTGTTCCATGGGGCCAAGCAACCAACACAGCACTAAATAGAGAAGAGCAAAAACAGTTGGCTGCCAACAGCTTTGGACTTGGCTTGTCATCAGTCCAGAGCTCTCTGCCCAAAGCTGGCTAGTTGCCGTGGCTGCAGTGTGAACTCGCCTGTGGCTGCCTGCCTGCCACTTGTGGCAAGGGGAATGAAGAGGCACTTCTTGGAAAAGGGGGAGTTGGACAGAAGGCTCAGTGCATGTCCTCATCAACCTTTGGCTGGGATCCCGTCTCACCTCCCTCCCCGGGGACGCTCAGCCCAGGTGCTCACAGCACAGGAGGGGAGCCCCACCTTACTTTGGCTGTTTTCCATCTGTTGTACCGATGGTAGGGGCCATGCGCCTGTCCACTCTGTTTCCATGGTGCTCCCATTCTCAAGCCACAATCACTGTTGAGGGGGCTGTTCTTGCCACCCCTGCCTTGGGAAGGGTCCCCTCACTGGTATCAGCCCTGGTGCATCCCTTCTCTCGGTTAGTGGCGGGAGAGGTGCTTGGGGGCTGGAGTCCTGCATCTGAGCGCCTTCCGGTCCCCAGTGGGTAGCATGGAAACCAGGACCTTGTGGGGACCAATCTGGTGCTCAGAGGTCCCACAGTGCCCCCTGCTGGCGGTGACCTGCTCTCCCTCTCTCCCACTTTCTTGCAGATCCAGGCCTTGTCCTGCAGGAAGGCCGAGGGTAAGTCTGTGTTTGGGTGGTTTTTAAGTCTCGGTTGCTGTTGTGTGCTCTTCCCTCTCCTCTTCAGTTACCTTTAAGGGAGACCACTGGTAACAGCAGCCCATGGCACATGGGGCAGTGGTCAATGGGGCTGGGTTCATGAGCAGGCCTTGGCTCTTTCTAATTCTCTGGGCGTGGAGTGAGGCCCTCAGGGTTGCCAATGACCTTGACCTTCTCCCCAGTATGTAGCCCATTGGTCCCAAGCCCTGGGGGCTGTGGCCTGTTTCACATAGGCACTCTCCTCCTCTTGAGTGTGTGCGTGCACCTGTGTGTAGTGGGGTGCAGGTGCTGGAGTAGACAGTGACCCACAGGGTACTGCTCCTGTTTGGGGGACCTGGGCTGGCCCTTTGGGAAGCCCGCCCCTTCGCCTGTCATGCCCCAGCTCCCCTGTTCTGCCCTCTGGCTGCCTCTCTGCCTTTGTTGTACGCTCACACCTCCTCCCTCCCCAGTCTGAGGCTAGACACTTCTTTGGCCACTTTGCAGGCAGTTCAGAGAGGCCTGTGGTCCCGAACTTCCTGAAAGCTGGAGCCGGAACCGTTAATAATAGCCATGTGCTGGGCATTGGCCAAGTATTCCAGATGCATCGTCTGGTAAAGTCGTCCCCCTGATGAGGCTTAGAGAGGCTTAGAGGGGACTTTGCCATCTTGTGCACGGCTAGTGAGGGGCAGAGCTGGCACGTGGCTGCTCACCTCTCTGCCTCCTGTGCCCAAGAGTGTGGCCACTGCTCCACCCTGCCTCCCTCCGGTAAAGGTGAACTGGCTGGTGGCTCGCTCCTCCTGGCCAGCCCTCCCCTGGGATGGCGCCCAGGGCACTGGAGCCGCTCACGCTGCTTCCTCTCTCAGGGACCCCGGAGGTGCCCAAGGCTGTGGACACAGAGGAGGACTCTTCTGAGGAAGGTGGGGGCCTTCTTTTCTTACCTGGGTGTGGTGCACATAAAGCAGCCTCGCTGTTTTCCCTGCTTAGCTGCATCTGGGAGCCTGGAGCTGGGGTGAAGGGAAGTGGGGACAGCTGCATCTGGGCGCCTGGAGCTGGGGTGAAGGGAAGTGGGGACAAGAAGTGGTAGTTCTTGAGCGCCTGGTGTGGGCTAGGCCTGTTAACAGAGAGGCCCTAGCCTGATGGGGCACCAGGCTCAGAGAGGGTTTGTAACTTGCCCTGAGTCACACAGCCAGCAGGGGGCGGAGGTGGGCTTTGGAGTGAGGTTCTGTTTGCAGCCTGCTCTGGCGCTGGTTCTGTCACCTAGTGCTATCCGGAGCAACAGGGGAGAGAGCTCGCTGCATTGGCTTAAAAACGGCCTCTGCTGCTTTGTTCAGTGTGGCGAGTGAGTGGCAAACAGGTATGCAGGGCCTGGCTGAGGCACGGGACCTTGCATGACCACCTCAGAGCACCGGTGTCTGCTGCTTTCTCTCCCTCCACACAGTGAGGGCTTCCCACGTGCAGAGCCCTCCGCTGGCTGTGGTAAAGGGTGCGAAAGAGCCACGAAGAAACCAGATGCGCTCCCTGACCACAAGGTGCTCCTAGGGCAATCAGGGAGGGGCACTTTCGGGGTGATCAGAGGGCTGCCTGGGCACCTGCTGGCCTGAGCCTGCCGCTGGAGCGAGGCTGTGACATGACTGTTCCCGGGGTCCCCGGCAGACTCCTTGGGGGAGGATTTTACCTGTGACCACTGGAGTTTACCATGGGATAGTTTGATTTATTTTTGATATGAGATCGTTCTTTAATTTTGAGATGGTGACCTATGTACTGTGCAAGAGAAAAAGCAGTGAGGGAGTGTGCCGAGTGGGGGCCCCTGGGGCTAGAGGGGCACCAAGCTGTCACTCAACAGACGTTTACAGAACAAGTGTGGGATGCTGGCAACTCTGGGAGGCTCTCTGGCCACCAGGCGCTCACAGAGGAGTCTGGCGTCCAAAGCCTGGCTGCAGGCTTGCAGCACCTGCGTCCCTGCCCAGGCTGGTGACCTCCGAGTCCCTGAGGGTGGGCCCCAGCCCTTGACACTTTACTGTTTAAACTCCCCGTGTACTCTCACAAACAGCCATGCCTGAGAAGTAGCTGTTCCAGGGCTAAGGTCCTCAGGTGACAGCCACAATGTCAGCATCTCCTGGTGACTTGAGAGCCCCATTCCAAGCCTTCTGAGTCACTAACTCGGCAGGTGGGGCCCAGCAAGCTTGCCCCAGGGCGAATGCCTCAACTTTGGCTGCACCCTGCTCTCTGGGGCAGGCAGCGTGGGGGAGGGGCCCTCCAGACAGTCAGCAGCTCCCTGGGTGATTCTCAATGTGCGCCCAGCAGTAGAGTCACTGGCCTTGTGGCGGCTGTCACTGAGCCGGCACTGAGGCATAGCGAGTAAAGGCACTCCCTGCGACACCAGCATCCCATATGGGCGCCGGTTTGTGCATCTTGGCCACTCCACTTCTGATCCAGCTCCCTGCTAACACACCTGGGAAAGCAGTGATCATCTCAAGTATTTGGGTCCCTGCCACCCACGTGGGAGACCTGGATGAAGCTCCTGGCTCCTGGTTTCGGCCTGGCCCAGCCCTGGTCATTGTCCTTCCAGATTCTTCCTGGACCACCCCCTTTGTAGCAGTCACGGTCATTGCTTGTTTTGTTGCCCTCTGGATCAGTGATTCTTTTTGAAAAATTTCTTTAAAAATCTATTTATTTGAGAGCCAGAGAGAGAGAGAGAGGAGGAAGCTGAAGGAGGTGGGGAGGAAGAGAGAGAGAGAGAGAGAGAGAGAGAGAGAGAGAGAGAAACTCTCCTATTTGCTGGTTCACTCCCCAAATACCTGCAATAGTTGGCAATGGGCCAAGTCACAGCTGGGAACTCAATGCCAGTCTCCTACGAGAGTGACAGTAACCCAGTTACTGGGCCCATTACGGCTGCCCCCGAGGCCTGCACTAGCAGGAAGCTAGAGTTGGGAGCCAGAGCCGGGTATTGAACCTTGGTGCTTCGATGTGTTTCCACTGCTGGCGCAAGCCCAGCCCCGTGGATCTGTATTTCTTTCTTTCTTTCTTTCTTTCTTTCTTTCTTTCTTTCTTTCTTTCTTTCTTTCTTTCTTTTTCTTTTCTTTTCTTTTCTTTTCTTTTCTTTTCTTTTCTTTTCTTTTCTTTTCTTTTCTTTTCTTTTCTTTTCTTTTTTTGACAGGCAGAGTGGACAGTGAGAGAGAGAGAGAGACAGAGAGAAAGGTCTTCCTTTTCCATTGGTTCACCCTCCAATGGCCGCTGCAGCCGGTGCACTGCGCTGATCCGAAGGCAGGAGCCAGGTGCTTCTCCTGGTCTCCCATGGGGTGCAGGGCCCAAGCACTTGGGCCATCCTCCACTGCACTCCCGGGCCATAGCAGAGAGCTGGCCTGGAAGGGGGGCAACTGGGACAGAATCCAGCTCCCTGACCAGGACTAGAACCCGGTGTGCCGGCGCCACAAGGCGGAGGATTAGCCTGTTGAGCCGCGGTGCCGGCCGGATCTGTATTTCTCGAAGCGTGGTCTGTGGCTCATCTCACTCCGAATCTCCTGGGTGTGTTCAGATGCGGGTTTTAGTGCTCTTCCCCAGGTCTGTGGCATCACTGGGGAGGGTGGCCAGAGCACGCACATTTAAAATGCATGCCCAGGGGACTCTGGAGTCTGCTACTTTTGGAGGGAGAACCCTTGGTGCGGGTGGTAAGCTTGGGGCAGCAGAGATCTGTCTGTCTTGCCTGCTAATTTATCTTCTAAGCCCCCAGCTTGGCAGTGGGGTGAGGGCATTGGGTGCCTTAGGCAGAGGCTGGAGCTGGCAGCAGTGGACCTTGGAATAAAGGGGAACAGAGCTGTGGGAACAGAGCTGCTGGGGCTCAGGTGCCAGCCCCAAAGCCCCACGTTAAGCTGTGGCCGGGCTGACTCCCATCTCAGGCGTCCACACTGGCAGGGCCTGAGGACGCAGAGGGGGCATGGGGCTTCTGAGTTCCTGGTGTCCAGGAGCTGAGACACCCCAGCTTCTGATCCAGGGCAGCACCCTCGGGAGGGGTGCTGGGCTCACAGGCCTGAGAGCGGGACCACGGGCGGTGTGAGTGAGGCCCGCAGGTGCACAGCGCAGGTGGGCACGGGGCTCTGGGCATGGGGCTCCTGTGCCCGAGCTCACCGCAGTGGGATCTCATGCTGCAGAACCGGAGGACCCCCGGGAGGAGCAGCGGAAGGTGCTGGCGGCTCTGAGGCGGAACCCTACCTTGCTGAAGCAGTTCAGGCCAATCCTGGAGGACACCCTGGAAGAGAAACTGGAAAGCATGGGGATCAAGAGGGTAGGTTCAGGGGCCTCTGTTTGAAGGGCCGACCCCTGTAGTTTAGACCCAAGGTGTTGTCAAACTTAGAAGCGATGGACTCCTGTTTGCCTTGTAAACCCGTCCACCTCATTGGTTCCACTGCAGATGCTCGGTGTCCTGGAAGGAACCCCGCACACCCTCTCCCTCTGGGTCCTGGCAGAGGGGCTTTAATTGGCTCGGTCTGGCTGATGGACAGAGCCCCTTTGTGAGAAGTGTCATCTTCCTGTCGGTCACCTGTGGCATGGATGACCGTGCCTGCTCTGCAGGTGCCTGTGGGTGGGCAGGAACTGGAAGCCGAGTCCGGTTCCGGTTAGGATTGGACTGCGTTGTTCCTTTATGCTTGGGTTTGACCAGAGCGTGCACGTGGTCGTTGAAGGCATCATGAAATCTATTCAGGAAAAATACACTTTGTTCCAGTAGCCAAACATCACATCACTGAACTTGCTCCCTGTGGAGAGGAAGCACGGGAAACAAGACATCTGGGTGTAATTCAGGATGGGGCTCACTGAACTTTGATTTCTGCCGCTGCTCACTCTAACTGCCGCCCCATGTTCAGATTTGACTAATGTGTTTCTAACCTCGAGTGAATCCTTCTCTTGTATGCAGGGGCGTCCTGGGACCCTCCCGCGGGCTCTGGGTGGGCATCAGTAGCACTGGCAGCTCCCAGTAGGTGTGGCCAAGGTGCGCTTTTGTTTTCTGCACTTTGGTGTTCAGACACTGTTAGCCATGCTCACTAAGGATTCAGCCAGGTGGCAGGAAAGCTGTGCTGTGACCCTTGCTTGATCCTGCTGTGCAGATTTGGGGGGGGGGTTCCCAGACCCTGCACCGCTGCCCTTTCAGCAGCTCACCCCCCCATCTGATCCCCATCTCATGCCCCCCACCCCCACTCCTCCCCGGACTCCCAGGTCAGCAGCAGCACAGGGAAGAGGCTGAGCGGGAGGGGAAGGGGAGCGGCGGTCTGCAGAGGTGCGCTCTGTCCCCGCAGGATGCAAAGGGGATCTCGCTTCAGACCCTCGGACGCCTGGAGTCGCTGCTGCGAGCCCAGCGGGGGCAGAAGGCCAGGAAGTTTGCGGAATTTCTGAGGCTGAGGGAAAAACTTGTGGAGGAAGCCAGCAGCAGAGTGGAGGAGAGGCAGAAGGGGGCCGCAGGGTCCCAGCCAGGTACACGGGGAGGGGGAGGGCTCGCTGGGGAGTGGGGTGTACTGGGCTAAAACTGGGAGGGAAGGACCCTCTC